TTGAGACAGGGTCTCACTATGTAGTTGAGACTGACCTGGAACTCACTATGTAGTCCAGGCTGGTCTGGAACTCACAGTGATCCTCCTGCCTCAGCCTCCCGAGTGCTGGGATTACAGGCGTGCGCCACCACGCCCGGCATTTGTTGCTATTTGATTTCTTGACGATGACCATTCATTATGGAGCAAGATGTAACCTCAGTGTTGTTTTGGTTTGCATTTCCGTAACAGCCAGCAAAGTGAAACATTTTTTTCCACGAATGTGGGCCTTCCTCAAGTGCAGCTTTGAATAACGCCACAAGAGGGCGGTGCTGCACCGCGCAAGACACTGCTTCGGCAAAAGGCCTTGGTTTCTACTCTCAGGATTTGAGGATCACAGTCCTCCAACTCGAGAGCTCACGAAGAAGAGAATGCAAGTGCCAGGCTCCGGACAGTGGCACTAAGGAAGCGAGCACTTCCTGCTCCTCGGGGAGAACCGTGCTCCTTGGCTTAGTAGGAACAGGCCTGCTAAGGCTCTGCTGGAAAGGGGGCCGGAAGTGTGGAAGGATCGCAAACCCGGCGGCCCACGCACTGCCCAGTGCACCGGTCCTGTACTCCAGACTCTGCAGGCCTTGGCCCAGATGTGCCATCGCGGGACACGGACACACAGGTATGGACACTTTTCCAAGCCCTCCTTTCGCACACAGAGCCAGAAAGAAAGTTCGAGGTGCACACTCCCTCCCGTCTGTGAAGTGTCGCTCAGGCACCACCGTGGTGCCATTTCTGGCTGACGGTTTGGGGACCCGGTGAGCAGGTGCATCACTGGAAATGCGGGTCTGCAAAGCCCAGGTCACAGGGCCCAGACAGAGGGCAGGGCAGGGCAGGCCCCAGACACAGGGCAGTGGGGGGAGCTGGAGAAGCCAGGAGCCAGAGCAGAGGCTCCACCTGTCTGCGGCTCCAGCCCCGCATCTCCTGCCTCCTCCTGGCCCTCCCTGGAAGTCTCACCCAGGTCCAGGGTCTCCAGTCTGTCAGAGGGGCCCGGAGATGCTGTTTCCCAAGACAGGCCCTAGAAGAGGAAGAAATGGTCACAGGTGGCTGCATGAAGGTACAGGTCACGAAAGCGAGCAGAGCTGGGCACAGGCACAGCGCACACAAGTACTGAACTGGGGACTGAGCCAGCTCTGTGGTGGGTGCCCATGGCGATTTCCTGATTCTCGGGACTGTGCAACTATGGCTGTGTGACATGGTGCCTGGTAGTGCAGGACTGTCATCCCAAGCAGCCTGGGAGGCTGAGGCAGGAGGATTGCAAGTTGGAGCCCAAACCTTGGCAACTTAACGACTTAGCGAGAACCTGACTCAAAATTAAAAAGGGTTGTAAATGTAGCTCAGTATAAAAGTTCTGGGTCGGATCATCAATACAGCCCCTCTCCCCCAAAAATCAGAAGGTCAGGTATTCCTGTTTCTGAGAACAAAAGGGCAGTTGTGGTGGGAACCTCTTCAGGCGACGTAAAGACTCTTAGGCTCTCATGGTATAAAGATGAGTGGATATCACTTCTAAAATTAGATGATAAAGCAACCCTGACTTTGAGCTGTGTCTGTGAGCCAAATCAGAAAGGTCCTGCTCTTCCTTTTTCCCGCCTGACAGCCTATAGGGGGCGCGCTCTGCTTGACAGCTGCAGCTGGGGCTGACCCGGATGCCCCACAGCTACTCCAGGAAGACATTTGCGGGACCACAGAAGGCTTGAATTTGCACCATTTTAGACCAATCCGCAGACTTGAATTTGGACCAATCAGCAGCCTAGGATTCAGACCAATCAGCAATCCCAGACTTGGACCAATCACTGATCTGCTGTTGTTATTTGAGCAGCACTCTGGGCCCAGGTGTTTAGATGGCTGCGGGAAGGCAAATTTTGTGGTGTTTGCTCTGGCTCAGTTTAAACTGTGTCTGATTAAGGTGCTGCTGTGATGGTCTTATAAACTGGTGATCTATTTTGTAGATAGTGTGGCTTGGAAAATCCTCTAAGTGTGTCTGGAATTCTTAACCTATGAAGTGTGGAAAAAGAGCTGTTATCCCTGGAGGGTCGCACCGGCAGCTGGGTCAGCGGCATTGGGTGACATCTGGCAGTTGTCACTGACAATTCGTGGGGGTCGGGGGAGACCAGCAGAAGCTGCTCAGACCAGCCTTGGTTGCTGAGGACCAGACTGGGGAGTGTTGGAGCCCCAGGGCAGTGACACTAAGGACTAAAGATCATAGGCTCCCAGAGCTGTAACACAAGAGCTGAGAGTCACTGGCACTTAAAGCCTGGAGCCACTTTGCCCGTCCATTTTTTAAAATTTAACCTAATTAAGTTAATTAATTTCCCTGTCCGTCTTTATGGAACAAAAGAAGCTTCTCAGGACCAGCACTGTGGCCTTGTTCCGGCATGCCCACGGAAGCCCTGAGCTACAAGATCTTAAATGCTGAGCTGCAAAAGTTTGATGGTGATGGGTTTCACCTATCACAACTAATAAGTAAGGTTACATGAAAGAATTTCCAGATATCTCGAGATGGTTACGAAACGAGTGCTCCTTATATAGCAGGCAGCGGGCTTGTGATTGGTCCGAGTTCTGGGCTACTGATTGGTCCAAATTCTAAGCAGCTGATTGGTTCACATTCTAGAACGCTGGCTGTTTCTGGGGAGGGACTGAATGGCTGTGGTGGTTACTTTAGGAATTGAGAGTGCGGAAGGCTTTTTACTGCATATTCTGCGACCTTGCAGTAGAGAGCACACTAGGTTTTCAATAATGAGGCAAACCCTGAACAAAGAAAAATATTAGGCTGTGTAAAAGGAACGATGGAGTCAGTGAAAGGGGGACATACAAGCCCAGCCCCCCGTTCCAGCACGGACTGACCAGCGATGACTGGATGAGAAATGAGACCGCAGAGCTCAACACGTACGAGTACACAGCGCTCCACCACACGCACCTTGCCCACACACAACACACTCGTGCTGCACACATAACACACACCACATGCTCCACATACACAAAACACACGTGCATCCATGCATACACACGCACACCGGCATCCTGTTTCCCCTTCTCTGCCTGCTCGCCCACTTCCGGGCCCCTCAGGAGAGCAGGGCTGTTTGATGCTGCGTCCCTGGGAGAGAGGACACCAGCGCTCGTCCCCTCTTTACCTGCTCTAGAAGAGCAGGACTTCCGGTGTGTGGAGTTGGTAGGGGGCGAGGCCTCCTCTCCTGCCCAGCAGGGACGAAGGAGAAGGCGCTTTCCTCTGGGGTGGGAAAGGGGGCGCCTGTGGGATCCAGGCAGTCAGGTGAGGAGAAGGCAGAGGAGGCTCATTCTTCTGACCTCCCCGCTCTCACCTTGCTGCAGCTCCAGCAGGAGACAAGTTGAGAGGGTCGCAGCATCCTTGTGGCCGGGTTTACTGACAGGGACAGAGGTATTTTTTCCATGGCTCATCTAGACCCTGGCAAATAAATGTGCATTTGGCTTCTCCTTTACTGGGGGACTTGGCGGCAGCAGATGTGGGCGCTCGCCGGAGACGTGAGCCCGGGTCCCATTTCAGCTCCTGGGTCTCCGTCCTCAGCAGCGCCCTCAGTCGGGTCCCTGCTCGCCCCTGTCAACAGCGATTCCTGCACCTTCCCGAGTGCGGCCCGGACTCAGGGACTCATCCCCTTCTCGGTACTGGGGGCCTCCGGGAGGTTAGGCGCTCTTCCTGGGTGGCCCGGGTCTCCATGGGGGTCCTTCTGCCCCACCAGTGCTGTGCCCGTCACGACCACCAGGTGTCGCTCCCCAGGGACAGCATCTCCACCCCTCCTCTGGACCCCACCCATACTGTTTTAATGAACACGCTTTTGACAGCAGTTCAATTAGTTAAGACTGGCATCTCATCGATTTCCCCCTCCTGAGGCTGGGCTGCAACCACTTCTTAGGAAGACACTGGCTTCTAATACGCTGACTTGTCTGGAGCCAGAGAAAAAAAATCCGTTCAAAAGCCGAGGAGAAGAGTTCCCTCCACTTTGGTAAACTGTGCCTTTTATAGGTTACAAACCAAATGATTTAACACACAATTTTTAAAATGTGTGGTACCAGAGGTTGAACCCAGGGCCTTCACACTGTGCTACATCCCTAGCCCGCCCTCTTTCTTTCCTTTTCTTTCTTGCACACTGAGACAAGATCTCCTTAAGTCTCTTAAATTACCCAGGCTGGACTCAAGTTTACAGTTCTCCTGCCTCAGCCTCCCGGAGTCCTGGGATGTCTGGCATGCACGATCACACCTGTCCTAAACTTTAAAACAATTTCATTCAGTCTCCAACCGCATAATGCCTAGTCATCTTGCAGAGAAAGGGGTGGGGAGAGTGACTGCTGGAGGAGATGAATTAGATTCTGGGTGAGAAGGGCCAGGTATGAATTCCTCAGCAGGCAGCGCGACAGCTGGAGCTCCCAGGTGAGCAGAAGCCCATGGCTCTCCAGGGGCTTGGTTCTATCGTGAGGTCCTGTGGCCTGAGCATGAGTCCTTCCCTATCTCTGGGCTGTTGACCGTTGTCCCTTTGCTGGGCCACTGTGCCGTGGCTAGACAGAAAAATCAGCCTAAGACACAGGGACGGGAACAATCAATGAGACACCAGCCAAACCAGGTGTGGTGGCACACCCCTGACATCCCAACTCTGGGAGGCTGAGGCAGGTGGACTGCAAGTGTAACCCAGCCTGCAGGTGCAGTTTAGACTCAGCGAGTCCCTACTCAGAGTAAAAAATAAAAGGGCTGGGGATGTCAGTCAATGTGAAGACCTCCAGTACTGCCTAAAAAAGAAAAAGACTGGTCAGTAAATAATCCAATAGTCAGAGCTTTCCAGTGGGGCCATTCCTGCCTAGCATAAGCACAAGGTCCTGAGTTCCATAGCTGGTACGAGAGAGAGAGAGAGAGAGAGAGAGAGAGAGAGAGCGAGATGAGAGAGAGAGAGAAGGAGGGAGGGAGGGAGGAAGATCAGAACTTTCAGGGGAGGTGACTTTAAAACAACAAAGACAAGTGACTACTCACAAAAGGCAAGCATTCCTGGGGCCTGTGTTTTACTCAGAAGCCACAAGACTTTGAGGCAAGCATTTAATCTCAGGAAGTCCTCGCTTGATACTGAAAGTTCTGCCTTGTCACTTTTTGATAAATACTAGACTAGTTTATTGGGCTTTGGGTGAGACTTAAGTCATTGCTTTGAGTGCAAAATGGTTTGCTTACTTTTGAAGCAAAACCTTGTTTTAATTATACAAATAAATCAAGTTCATACAACATTCAAGTAAAACATGCATATAATTATGAATCTCTTTAGATTTTATACTAGTAGTAAAAATTACTGCTTGATTTTTTTTACCCTTTCAGACACTTTGCTATGCAAATATAAACACATCAAAATATGCAATAGTTAGTAGCTTTTTAATTTTGTTTTGTTTTTGTACTAGGGATTGAACGTAGGGCCTTCACCCTGAGCTATACCCCTAGCCCTTATTTTTATTTGGGGATAAGTTCTCACTAATTCACTTACTTGCCCATGCTAGGCTCCAGCTGCAGTCCTCCTGCCTCAGCCTCCCAGTGTTGGAAATGACTGACATGTGCCAGTGTGCCTTGTAGTTCCTAACTTTTTTTTTTTTTTTTTTTTTTTTTTTTTTTTTTTTTTTTGGTACTGGGGATCAAACTCGGGGCCTTGCGCCTGTGAGACAGGCGACAAAACCACTGAGTTAAATCCCCAGTCCAGTTCCTAACTTTGCAAAACCAAAGATAGCATGAATAATTGTACATTTAGACTTGTGTTACCAGACTGTATGATTCACACTCCTGTGTGTGAAAGTAGCATAATTTTTAACCATCTTCTGATTGTTACTCACTTAATCTATATTTTGCTACTATAAAATATACTTATGGTATGTATTTTTTTATATTCTGTATTATAATATTCTTCTGGTACTGGGGATCGAACTCAGGACCTTGCGCTTTTGTGGCAGGTGGCAGAACCACTGAGCCAGATCCCCTACTTCTCTTTTATGATTTGTAATGCCAGTGCATATATACACACACTAGATAGCTAGGTTTTGGCTTACTCTTTGTGTGTTTCTGTGACTAAATCCCTAAAGTGGAATTGGCTTTGCAAAAGGCATAGTTCTGAAATGCTGGCTGATGTGCAGATTGCTAAATTGTCTTGCATGAAGTTTTTAACCACTACACAGCCCCACAAGACTGTTTAAGAATGGTCCTTTCCAAGCCAGGCATGGTGGTGCACACCTGTAATCCCATCATGCAGGAGGCTGAGGCAGGAGGATCACCACGAGTTCGAGGCCAATCTGGGCTGCATAGCAAGACCCCATCTCAAAAAACAAAAAATCAAAAATTGCCAGATCTTTTTGACACCCAGAGCCCTGATTTATTTAAAACTTACTCCTGTTCCTGCTGCAAAGCAGAGACTGCAACAGAGGTGGAAGGGACCAGGGTACCATGCTGAGACCTGGAGGGCTCAAGCCATGGCCCCCAGGAGCAGCCTCTAGCCAGGAACCGCCCTGCACCCGGGACAGCTGAGGCCGCTCCCTTGACCGCCAACAGCCTACACCGCCACTGCAGGCCTGGGGTCGGCAGGGCCCCTTCCCTGCCTCACTTCCTGCTCCCCGCTGGTTGGCACCTGGGAGAGCAGCTTCGCCCATCCTCCTCCCTGGATCTGCAGGTGAGAGGCCCACGGGAGTTGACAGGGCCCTGTATGGGACAACCCAGGTCCCTGCTGCCGTCTTTGCTTAAGGCACCCAGATCCACCATCCAGGACACTGGAGACAGTGGCAGCAGGCACCCTCGAGTCCTCCAATAGGGACTCTTAAGTGTCAGGAGTTTTCTAACACGGTTCTCACGACTCATCTCGGTGCACGTGGGACCGCAGCCCAGAAAACACGCTTAGGTGTTAGCCTCTGTGTTCCTTTCCTGCTTCATCCAACTCCAACATGATTTCCATGAGGTCAAGGCTAGTCTTCATCCCCATCCCTGGCGCACTGCCTGGCACATAATAACCACTCAAGAAATTGCTGCTACCTGTGCATGGTGATACAGGCTGCAGTCCCAGCACTCTGGGAGGCTGAGGAGGGAGGGTCACAAGTTGGAGCCCAGCCTGAGCAACTTAGCAACGTCGTGAGACCCTATCTCAAATTTTAAAAAACTAAAACAAGGGCTGGGGTTACAGCTCAGTGCAAAAGCCCTGAGTTTAATGTCCAGGGCCATAGAGCTGGTCATTTTAATTCCTGTGGCATTTATTGCCTTTTGAAATCTGGGAGAGCTGGTTTCTCTTCATTTCTCCCTTTGTCAAACATTTCTGGGCTATTCCTGTGTATTTACTCTTTTTCATGTGGACCTTGAAAATCAAAGCATAAATTCCTCTGCCAAGTCTCATGGAGGCTTTAATTGAAATTACAATTTATAGATTA